TAAATAAACACAAACCTAGCAACTCTGACATTTAAAGCAATTTCATAAACCTTAAAATAATTTAAAATAACATTTAAATTTTAAAATGATTTAATTGACAAAAAGGTACGAAACACAGTCAAAGAAGACAAGCAACCAAGATAAGCATTCTTTTCCAAGGCCTATTGAAACAAAATGGCCTTAATCAAAAGATTAGCAACAAGTTGACCATGAAGAATCTCATGAGAGAAGAGACAGTAAAGCTCTTTTTGTATCAGGAACTCCTTTGCATATTAGGCAACACACCCTTAATGTAGCCAATCCTCTAAGAGCTTACAGAGCTCTTCTTACAGGGGCTACTGTAAGCTCTTGGAGGATTGGCTACATTAGGGGTGTGCCGCCTAATATGCAAAGGAGTTCCTGCTACAAAAAGAGCCCATAACCTCTCATTCAGCAAGATTTTATCCACAAATCAAAATGCACAGGGAAGGTTCTATGATATGCTGGATGACCATTTAGCCTTAAAATGAACTGACAGCCAGAAAAGCTCTTTTAACATGCTCCCGAAGAGATTGAAATCATTTTAAATTATGCTGCTGCTTTCTGAATAAAGTGAAGTTTTTGGACTATTATCAAGAACAGCCCCACATAAAACACATTAAAATAAATTAGGATAAAGGTTAATCAGGCAGGACAGGATGCAAAGGCATAGTGTGTGACTGCTGCCGCCACTGTATCCAGGAGCAGTACTGGATCCAAAATCACCCCTAGATTATATGTAAAAATTTTCAGGGGAACTGTGACCTGATCTAGAACAAGTAGTGCATTGCTAACCTGACAGACCATCCACCAACATCATCTCCATTTTTTCTGTACTGAACTTCAGTTGTTCATCCTCATCTAGTCCACACTGACCTCAGTTCACATAAGATGAAAAAGTGAAATAGTATCTGGCACCAGCATACTGATAACTGCATGCAGCAGCATCATGTACAGAGTTGTGATAGGCTGGAAAAAATCTGCAAAAACTCTGTGATGTCCACTGTCCAGGACAGATCCAACAATATCTCAGTCACACTCTCAGGCAGGGTTTAATCCAGTTTATTCCACAAACCTTGTGCCAGCTATCACTGCACACACGACGTGCTGCAACTCCAAACAAGAAGATGACTGATTAAAAACCCACTCTGCTAATACCCTGCAGGTGGACATAATAAACTCCGAGCAATCTTAAAGCCACATTACACCACAAACTCAGAAAGATTGTCCCCCCAGGACCCCCCCCCCCCATTTTTCAGCAGAAAAACTGGGGGAGCACTGAAAATAAACCCTTCCATGAAATATTTTCTCTTTTAGATTGAGTAAAATACTTCTTAAGGCAAAATGTATAGCATGAAAATTGGGAAATTGTGGGGGGAGCACTGGAAAAAAACCCTAGGAAATATTTTCTCTGTGAATGAGAAAAACCCTGTCTTACAAAGCATTTTACACTTTCCAACTGTACAACATGAGAACATTCTCAATTTGTCCAATGGAAATAATTGGGAAATTGGCAGAGCACTAAAAAAACCCTCTTATATTGAAGGTATAATACACAACATTTTCAAAAATGCTTTAGTAATTAATATGTTATAATGTATTTAATGATAATACATTATTAAAGATGTCAATTTTTTCAATATTATGAAGTTTAGCTTAATCAGACATGCTGGTAGTAGTATCTATTGTGACTCTATGAGAGAGTTTCTGTTCAAATAATACACTTTATTTTGTTTAGTATAGAATTTGTTTTCTACATTCATTTTTATTTTTTCCTACCAGTCAGATGGCCAAAATCAAAAATCCATGTGCTGTGGTAGCTGTTTCTCAAGTATTGGGTATTCTTGCAATATAGAAATTGAAGACATTTTAGTTTTATATTCTACTATTTTATTTGTCAACTAAATTATCGATGATGTATTTTATACTTTTAAATCAGTAAAAGAGGTTTAGTTTGACAGGGCACTATTAGATATAGTTCAATTTTTTTTTACAAAACTTCTGTTCTTTTCTGAAAAAGAAAAGGGAAAAAAAAGCTTTTCCTCCCAGTGGCTTCAAAATTTCCAGAAATTTTACATTTCCATTCATGTAGATGTTAAATAGCATGGGAAGCAAAACTGAATGCCACAGAACAGTAACTGTGGAGGGGAATGATAGTGTCCTGCCCAGCACCTCCAAGATTATCCTGGAAGGGATGAGCAGAACCACTACAGTGGCCCAAACTCTCAGCTTTCTTAGGTAATCCAGAAGAATACCAAAGTTTAAAAATATGGGAGACAACAGAGAGATCCAGGAGAATTAGCAGGGTCACACTCTCCATATCATCACAAAGGCAACCAAGACAATTTCAGATTCCACCCCCCACCCCCACAAGCCCAGAAACAAAACTGATAAATATCAAGACAATCTATAAAATTTAGAGAAGCTTGGAGTTAGACTTCCAATAAAAGGGTAAATTTGACAGTGTAATTTGTGAGATTGGATGTATCTAAATATTTACCTTTAAAATATTTAGTAATGGCTTAATTAAAGCCTTTTTCAATGGGTAGGGAAACTCTCTCACACCATGATCCCCATTCAGCCTTAATGAACCAGGATGCATGTTGTGAGTATCTTCCAATATCTTGCCAACTTTCCTCAGGCATCAGTAAATGCAGCTCTTCCAATCAACCATAACTAGCGTAGGCTTCTGGTACAGAATCGTCTTCTAATATAGTGTCCAGAGTGGTACAGATATGAATGACTTTGTCTGCAAAATGTCTGACAAATAAATCATAGATAAATATACCTCCTCATGATAGGGAACTGGTTGCAAAAGCTGTGTCACTACCAAAAAAAGACCTCACTGCATGGTATTAGGGATGATCCATGCATTATCACAAAAGAGAATTGTAGAACACACATTTATGACTGCCTAGCTAGATGAGAAAAGTGTTCCTGTATGCCATCTTAATCTTTAAGACTACGAAAAACACCCAAATCCTGAAATCGCAACAGTAGGCCCCGGACTATAGAGGTACTGTCCAAACAAACCAAAAACCTGAATTCAGCCTGCAATTAATATTAAAGATATCACCTTGTATAACAAGGATATTTACAATAGCATAGTAAGAAAGAGACAGGAGGGCCTGGCGGGAGCTGGTCAATGGGGTCGCGAAGAGTCGGACTCGACTGTGCGACTGAACAACAACAACAAGTAAGAAAGGCTTGTTGTTGCACAACAGAAATAGAATTTGGGATAAAGGCATGAAAAACATGACTAGTTCATGGGGAAAAACTGCATCACATTCAGCGCAACTTGCCGTTGATCCTCAATAAATAATAGAAATCTCTATAGTGTTACAAAATCTCCAGCAATGGGTTTTGAGTAATATAAGCAGTCATCACAGAAGAAATCCAAATGGCCTCTTAAATCTCTTCCAACTCTCTTCTTAAAAATGTAATCAAAAGAATACAATACAATTATGTTAACACGCAATCACTTGATCACCCTGGAAAAGGTTCCTTCAGCTTTTTGGTGCACAAGTCAAACCAGAAGGAATGCGCTTTACCAACAATTCATGACCCACACATTGCTAAGATAACATGCTGGCAGAGAAGATCAGGGATGGTGATCATTCACTCAATATTGTCTTTGCTTCTGTAAAGCTGTAATTAGCAGTCTGCTATTTTCAATAAATTTCTAGGTCATGTATGATTACAGTTGCCTCGTGTTGCTCATGGTATTATTTTGATATATATTTGTATTTTAAGCATTGTTTTAATGTTTTCAAGTCTGAAATGTTTTAATTGTTTTAATGTTTACCACATTGGGGACCCTGAATTGGGTGGAAAGGCAGCAATGAAATGTTTTTTAAAAAATAAACAAACAAATATTAGTGTCATACAAGAACTCACAATAAAACATTTATGAGGAAATACCACTTGATATTCTTCCATGGATACTTGTTCTCTGCCTGGTGAAATCACCATGTAGTAAGGAGTAATGTAACAAATACAGCATTTCATGTGGCCCAGTTATTCTTCCATGGATACTTGTTCTCTGCATGGTGAAATCACCATGTAGTAACAAATACAGCATTTCATGTGGCCCATTCAGAGACTTACTAGGTACTGATACGTTTCCTATTTTTTAATTTATTTAAAACATTTATTAGCCACCTTTCTCCTTTGCGGAACTCCTGCAAGTGAGTGCTTCCTTCTGTGCATAATGCGGATGATCACAGAGGTGGTCCCTCAACTGGCATGATTTTTTTAGAAACTGGGGGTGGAGAGGAGGGACTGCACGAACCAACTGTACCAACGGCCCCACCAACTGAGGCTTTATAGCCAGGCGGGAGTTTGATGACACCATTCAGTGGACAGAAGATATCAGAAGATCGCCATCTTTTACTGTAAGTTATGTCTATACAGGATTTTTATAGTGACAGATAGTTTTATTGGAATTTTAATGTATATTTATTATGTTGTTAGCCGCCCTGAGCTGCCGTATGGCAGGGCAGGATATAAGTGTAAATAATAAATAAATAATCCCTCTGAATGGAGCGCCTGCTTCATGTGTGATGCATCTCCAGCACCAGCACTGTGGCCACAGAAACAAGTGTCTGAACTGGGCCAATATGCTGACCTTACAATATGCTTTGATTAAAAACTATCAGAGAAATGGGTACACTTGGCAATAACCACTACAATAATAAAGCCTCTTCAGGAAAGACTGGAGACTGGGGAATTCCTAATCCTGTACTCAAAACAAACCTCTTTGCAATCAGCCTGGTGCAACAGGGTCTTCACTTTGTCCTATGCAAAGTCTACACTTCAAAGGATTAGATTCCAGGTCCTTTTACATTCAGGCAATGGACAGAGACAAGGAAAACAGACAAACATGTTAATCGAGCTCTTTGCTCCTGTATCCTAGGCATACAGTGAATGGGATTGTTAAAAAAAGGAGGTAGAAATGAAGAAGAAGAATGAGTGTACTGTACCACATGCTTTTAGGGGCTCGTCAGACCAGTCCCTGCAGTCCCTTTGTGAATCGCACACTTTGACTTCCTCTATGCACTCTCCACTCTTACACTGAAACTTGGTGGAACTCTTGCACGTCGCTTCTGTTGCATCAGGCAAGGGAGGGAAAGCAGTGGAAGTTAGATTAGGCACAAAGAAATGAAGGCTGGACATCAAGCTCAAAGAGGATGTAATTTAGAAGAAATGGGATGGAGTTAGGCAATGGAATATTTAGTGGCAACAGATAACAAGGGTTCTGTCAAACAGCGATGCCTGATAACGCTGTGAAGAGAAGCTTCCCTGAGAAGTTTACAGTAAGAAGCACTTGACTATTGGCTTTGGAAGAGAGGCTAAGGATGCCCTTCCCATCCCTATCACCTAGGATTCTTCAAGCAAGGGTTTCTGCTGTGTCCATACCAGGGCACTGTCTGTACCTACCGTTAACACAGCCTGCTTCATCACTGTTGTCAGGACAGTCATGGACTTTATTGCACTGTTTTGCTCCATGGATGCAGGTCCCATCGCCACACTGGAATTCATCAGGGCTACAGGTCACCAAGGCTTAAAAACAAAGCATTAAAGGAAATGGTAAACCATTATGTATGTTGATATTAGGGTTAGCAACAAGCAACTATGATTACTACTCTCAACAATTCTGAAAGTGTTGGGAACGGCTATTTTTCTTCCCTGGAGAAAAGCACCACCTATGGATAGTTTCTGTACCTACTATCCACCACACTGTGTTTCATTATCCCACTCCTTCTTCAATGGCAGAACCATTTTATCTTATGAATAGACTGAGAAACAGAGATTTATGCAGGGTTACTCAAGGACCTTCATGGCTAATTAGGGATCTGGACCCATGTTTCTCCACTCTATCCCTACTGGCTCTCCATATGGTCTCAAGTAGGCCTTGCTGAAAATGGTAGAGGGGGCTATAAGAATGTTCCCTTCTGCCCAGGCTGCCTCTCTCCACTTGTATTTTGCCCCTTTTTGCTCAGCAGCCTTCATGGTATCCACCATGAATGAATCTAACTTGTCAGCTAAACATCCAGCCTTGGATCTCATAGATCCATCCTGCTAACGGCAGTCGTTTTCCCCCTGGGAACAATAAGCATTGCTCTGACACAAGAGGCTACTATGCCTCCTGCATCAACACTGCATCTTTGGTGGATGAAGGTGGTATTAGTAGATCCACAGGATCCAAGCCACAAAGATTTTAGATGAGATAAAAGAACAACTCCCAAGATGAATTTCAAAGCTTACAACTACTATGATTCATCTGAAAGCATTCATCCGAGTGCTTCCTCCCTTGGGGAATTGCATTCTCATCCTAAATGACAGAAAATCACTGCCGCCGAGTAGCTGGAGCAATACAAAGCAGACGCTAATTCATGTGGTCCAAGTGCCTTGTGGCAGCATCGCCTTGGCAATTTCACAAACTGTCCCTAAGATCAGAAATTATGACCCTTCAATACCCTGGAAACAGTGAAGAGGCAGCAAAAAAGAACACAGCAGGTACCATAAGGCATGCTAACACGATGCAGTGCAATCCATCACATAGGACAAACACACAACAGGGACTGAGGATCACTACACTGAACCATGCTCTGGCAAAATTAATGTTTCCAGCAGTTAATTATACTGCTTCTGGTTATCTTCAATATTTATCTAAATCCACAAAAATATAACATGCAAAGGTAAATTTGTGGATCACAATATATGCTCAAATGCAGACAGATGCATGAATGTAACAAGGCTTTCACTTTATGCTGAATTCTAATATGTCCAAAAAGAACGCATGCATCTCCTCCTGGTGTGAATGCACAAGCTCCCTTCAGAGATGCGACGAGGTGAAAACTCCACATTCATCTTAGAGCATGAGAAATTGCTCTGAATGCCTCTAATGTGTTTATGTTCCAAATCAATCTTTTTTTATGTCGTTTACTCTGCAACATATGGCCATTGGGGAATTACTAGCTTACTTCTGTGTTTTAGATGGGAAACCAACTGTCAAGCCACAACCTACTTCCACTTAAACCACTTTAGCCTTGTTAAAGTTAATGGGTCTAAACTAATTTAATGAAAAAAGCAGCAGTTAAAATATTTTGAAAATTGCCTGCTTGGGATCCAAGCAGCCATGGGATCGAGCTTATTTTTAATTGTCCATGAGAGTCTGTTAGCATGCCATTACCAACCATTAACTTGTCCATGTGATTCTATTCAAAGGGACTGAACATGAGAAGTATAGCCTTCTGTTTAGTACTTGCACTTTGAAATGGAATTACCTGACACTTGATTCACTAGCAAAGAATCTCCACAAAGGTGAATATAATACAGAAGAACAATATATGAAAGGGATGAAGTTGATACACAGAAAATTGGGACCCTCTGGGATAGTTTGTTAGGGCCAAACCGGATGTGACCATAGGACACATGAACTGTGAGATCCGGATAATGGTGCACAGGGTTAGAACCCCCTTTTCATGGTTCCCCCTTTCCTCCACCCCTTCTCAATCTGCCCCCCTTTCTCTCTCTACTTCCTCTCTATTTCTCTCCCCCAATCTCCCTCCTTTCTCCTCTCTCCCTCCCCAGATGATCTCTCTCCTCCTCACTGTTCTCCTTCTCTACCACCTTCCTCACACAATCCCCCTTCTTTCTCCTTTTCTCCCCTCCCTTAGACAACCCCCTTTCTTTCTCCTTCTCTCCCCCCAGACAATTCTCCTTCTTTCCCCTTCTCTCCCTCCGACAATTCCTAGCAAATCCCTGCTTTCTCCTTCTCTCCCCCCCCCCCAGACAATCCCTTCTTTCTCCTTCTCTCCACCTCCCCCAGACAATCCCCTTCTTTCTCATTCTTTCCCCCTCCTGCAGACAATTCCCCCTTCTTTCTCCTCTACCCTTCCCTCAAGACGACGCCTCCTCTTCTTTTCCCCTAACTTGAGAGTTGCAGTGGCTGCAGCTGCAGCAGGGCACCCAAGGAGCAAGTGTGGGTGGGCCCATGAGACTTGTGGGGAGGGGAATACCATCTCCCCCAACATTTTTGCTGGGCCCACTTGCTCCTGGGCACATAAGTCACCACTGGGCCTGCTGCAGCTACTGGACTCTACAACCGGGCCCAGTGCAGTTCCTGGGGTCTGCTGCCACCAGGCCCAGTGTGCCTCCTGGGCTCCACCGCCGCTGGACTCAGCATGGCTACTGGGCTGGAACCAAGTAATAGTTCTAGCCCAGTAGCTGCACTGAGCAGGTAGGTATGTTCTCTTCGTTTGCTCACAGAACAATCTCTTATTTTTGGGAGGGGGGATTTAACCTCGCCAATGTATTTTATAAAAATTTAAGATCTTTCTGCAAATCTGGGTTTTCCCTCAAGTTTGAAGAAAAATCTCCTTTCGCTCAGTGTGTGCCCGATCCATGGATTTAGGTATCCGCAGGTCTGCCCACACTTGAGAAACAGATATATAGATTTTCAGGATTTTTTTCTGTATTTTTGTTAATAGTTTTATTATAGTTTCCTATTTAACCCCCCCCACACACACACACACAAAGGCCCCTTCCTAGGTTACTAGAGTGGTGTGGGAGCCAATTGTTAGCATTTGTGTGCGCGCATTTGTCTGCTTTTATGCTACTTAATGGTCCTCCCTAATTCTATATGTTAACTGCAGGGAGGCTCTGCCCAGAGAATCTTGAATGTTCAGTCCTTGCACATGGGAGCTGTCCACTTTCCCACAGATGGCTGCTTTTCAGCTGCTCTACTTTTGCATAGTTTAGTATGAATATTTCATCTCATTTCAGTGTCACAATTATGAATATTTCAGTGAAACATTTTCTCAATTTCCTTCGCTTGCAGTCTCTGGATAAATGACCAGCTTAAGCTATTTAGCATCTGAAAAATGGATGAAACATCCCAAAACATTGCAACAATTTGTGAAAGGCACAAAGAGAAATCCATTATTCATTAACTCAGGGCCTTTCACAATCTGACTAGGAGCTTCTGCTTTACCACACATGGTGTGATGAAGCCAACTACTGGCCTCTCCAACTAAAAGTACAGATATTCTTCAGCACAGGCTTAATGGGCCTAAAATTATGTTGCATTTTCTTTCTACAGACAGTATTTAAGAGAATTTGCTAGCCAATCAGTGAAACTATTACTAGGTCCCTGCCACACGGCAGGGAAAACACCGGCCAAAGTGTGGCAAATTAGAGCTGCACCAAAATAGAGACGCCGCGGCGGGATCCCACAGATCCCCTTAGCTGCGGCGCCGTTGCTCCCCGGCCGGGGAGGAAGACACAGTCGGGAGGGGGAGGCTGCCGAACTGCGCATGCCTGAGCATGCGCAGTTTGGGCTGGAGCCGGGGATGCGCCGGCGAAAGGATGCGCCGGCGATCCCACGGCCGGCTTTGATGCAGTCATCTGGGATGAACCACCATGGTAGGTGGTTCATTTTTGCAGCGGGGTTTTGGGTGGAAGGGGCGGATCGGGGACACAAGCACAGCGCTTCCCAGATGTTGCGGTGGGATCGCGCCCGTTTTCTGCGCCCCCGATCTGTCGCTCTACCGGCCCAAAACCTCCCGTGTGACCGGGGCCCTAGTTACTCATCACAAAAGCGGTGCAGCTGCAAGCTCTTTAGAAAAGAGCCTGGAGGCTGACTGGCACAATCAAAATTCAGTTGTTACCTCAGAGGTGAGTTTCCAGAGCCTCATTACCTTCCCCATAATCTTGTCTGATTTCCACTGTGAAACATGCCCCTAACCCATCAGAGCCACTGGTGACAGTATCTTCTGGGATAAAACTGATGCAAATCTAGAGGTTCTGATCTTGCTAGGAGGAACTAACCTTGCAATATACTTCCACCTCCTTCACTTCTTGAACATGTAAAGAAGTCCAAGGTTAAAGTGAACGTCAGACAGTAATGATATCGCATGATTGGGAGTCAGCCTCATTAGGACTCATTGGGACTAACCTCCAAGTGAACCCAGATAGGATTGGCCTGCATGAGTTACCATCCCAAGTTAACAGACAGGTCCACAAGAGCCCATCTCACTTCTCAACATCATTTAATGCCCTGTGGACACTCACGACAATCTTGCTCGTCTGATTTGTCTTTGCAGTCCTCATCTCCATCACACTTCCAGTTGAGGTGGATGCATTCCCCATTGCCACACCGGAACTCATGAGCTGCACAGGTACTCAGGAGCTGAGGCTTGATTTTATAGCCACACTTCTCCATTGATTCATCTGAATGATCCTCACAGTCAGGCTGGTTGTCACAAACCCAGGCTTCCGGGATGCATTGGCTGTTGTTGCACTGGAACTCATTGGGACTGCAGGTGAGTGGCGAACACTTCCTCTCATCACTCCCATCGCCACAGTCATCGTCGCCATCACACACAAAAATGGTAGCTATGCAGGTCTTGTTACTGCACTGGAACTCACTCGAAGAACAGACTTTGAGGTAAAAGCAAAAGAGACAAGTTTAGAGAGCTCAATATTAGCTTGCAGAGCTTCTTCTCTAGGCTTCAAGCCTCTCCTAAAAGAGTCACTTTCCCCTCCCTTATCTCATCTGTTTACCAGGGGAAATATGCTCATTTCTACGACTTGCAAGTGTGTATGCTTTTCATTAGACTCCATTCATTGGCTACTCAGTCAAAGCAGCAGTCAAAATCTCTCTTGTCGTTACCTCCCGTGTGACCGGGGCCCTAGTTACTCATCACAAAAGCGGTGCAGCAGCAAGCTCTTTAGAAAAGAGCCTGGAGGCTGACTGGCACAATCAAAATTCAGTTGTTACCTCAGAGGTGAGTTTCCAGAGCCTCATTACCTTCCCCATAATCTTGTCTGATTTCCACTGTGAAACATGCCCCTAACCCATCAGAGCCACTGGTGACAGTATCTTCTGGGATAAAACTGATGCAAATCTAGAGGTTCTGATCTTGCTAGGAGGAACTAACCTTGCAATATACTTCCACCTCCTTCACTTCTTGAACATGTAAAGAAGTCCAAGGTTAAAGTGAACGTCAGACAGTAATGATATCGCATGATTGGGAGTCAGCCTCATTAGGACTCATTGGGACTAACCTCCAAGTGAACCCAGATAGGATTGGCCTGCATGAGTTACCATCCCAAGTTAACAGACAGGTCCACAAGAGCCCATCTCACTTCTCAACATCATTTAATGCCCTGTGGACACTCACGACAATCTTGCTCGTCTGATTTGTCTTTGCAGTCCTCATCTCCATCACACTTCCAGTTGAGGTGGATGCATTCCCCATTGCCACACCGGAACTCATGAGCTGCACAGGTACTCAGGAGCTGAGGCTTGATTTTATAGCCACACTTCTCCATTGATTCATCTGAATGATCCTCACAGTCAGGCTGGTTGTCACAAACCCAGGCTTCCGGGATGCATTGGCTGTTGTTGCACTGGAACTCATTGGGACTGCAGGTGAGTGGCGAACACTTCCTCTCATCACTCCCATCGCCACAGTCATCGTCGCCATCACACACAAAAATGGTAGCTATGCAGGTCTTGTTACTGCACTGGAACTCACTCGAAGAACAGACTTTGAGGTAAAAGCAAAAGAGACAAGTTTAGAGAGCTCAATATTAGCTTGCAGAGCCTTCTTCTCTAGGCTTCAAGCCTCTCCTAAAAGAGTCACTTTCCCCTCCCTTATCTCATCTGTTTACCGGGGGAAATATGCTCATTTCTATGACTTGCAAGTGTGTATGCTTTCCATTAGACTCCACTGTTCTAATGCATTCATTGGCTACTCAGTGAAAGCAGCAGTCAAAATCTCTCTTGTCGTCTTTATCTTCATCCACTACCCCAATGCCTCTATTTCAGGTATAATCTCTGCATGCATGCCAAGGCTATAGCTTGCATTGGTCCCTCCTTCCCTTCACATGATTCTTGGTGACAGCTACAAGAACTAAGGTTGTGCTACCTGTATTCCTGTTTTCTAGTTATCAGCATGGGGAAATCTGGGGGGAGGGAAGTATTTGCTTGTCTCCAGGACATTTCTTGCATTCTCAGTCATGCAGCTGAGCAGACACTGTGTGGGCAAGTCATAAAGATGGTCACAATTGGTTGATTAATCAATTTATAAACCGCCTTCCCCTGTAGGTCTCACGGTGCTGTTCAACATATACCAATGTATCAATAAGTAAGCAGTTTAAACAATTTCAATAAAGGCAATTAAAATAATACAGCACAGCAATATACTTGTCTGAAGGTGTCTGATGTGAGTATAGTATAGGACATGGCACGGGAATGGGCATTTATGTACTTCATTTATAACTCCATCTTTCTCCCTGGAGGGGGCCCAAATTGGCTTACACGGTCCTCCTCTCCTCCATTTTATCCTCACAACAACGCTGTGAGGTGCCACCTAGCCTCCCACCCTCCAAAAGGTCCCAAGTAGCCTCTATGGTCCTTACACCTTGTCTGAACACTGTGATACTCCAAAGGACAAAGACATCTTCAGTTATGCACTAAAAGGAGTGCAAGAAGTTGCCATTCTTCCAAGAAGGAAGAGGGGAAATTCCAGTTTATTTTCTCATGTTTATTAATTGAAACACACACAAATTTAGTACTGCCGGTTGTCAAGCATTACAGCTGAACTAAAGGGGGGGGGGGACTGGCCAGATGGCCCAAAATCTCTTTCAAGCGTGAATGCAGCCAGGTGGCAAATATAACTGAAGGAGTCCAAGAATTGTGGGTCAGTAAAACAGGAAGCATTGTGCTAATTTGAGGAAAAGAACAAATCTGTTGCTAATAAAAGCTGAAGAGCAGTGATATAACCACCTGGCAGAGGCCAGGAATATGGGCACTCATGAAGGTACTCCAAGTAAAAAATCAAGAGCCTGGGAGAGGAAATTGGTGAATGGCATAAGAATATCTTGCAGACTACTCTGCACTACAGTATTCTCTGCCATGACTTTGATTACCATGCATGTCAATTTCATTCCCTTCCAAATATAAGTATATTTCAGAATTTCACAGCATGCCTTGTTTTGAACATATTAAGTGGGATGTACAGGGCAAAGACTCAGTGAGGTACGCAGGGATTTCACTGCTGAGTTGCACTGATAAGCCCCCTTTTCAACACACTGACTGAACATTCCCCTGGAAGTCATGGTGAGGCATTTGCATACAAATTAGACTATTCTGAGCGATAAAGTTGGGCTTGATTTTCTCCTCCTCCTCCTCCTCTCTTGGCCTGCTAGATTTAGAACTGAACCAGAGCCTTAGAACATACTTAATAATTTGTAATTTGCTTGGCAATTAAGAGGGGAAAATACCTGTTCCAGCAATTTCAAAGATCCCTGGGAAAATGATCGCTTCGATAAATTATGTTAAATGAAATAATCAGTCTTGGAAAACTGTTATTTTAATTGCTCTGTGTAGTGCTTTGTAGTTGGTAGGTGAAATAGATATTGCTGTGCTTGCACAGTGCTCATGATAAGCCACACTGCTTAGATTTCTCAATAGCTGGGAACAACAACAACAACAACAATACAGGAAGAGTGATGGGGTATTAAGTTGGGAGGTAATTCAATATCAAGGTATCTAATTATATTCAAATTCTAATTTCAGATTTCTTTGCAAATCAGAGAGCTGGGTGCCCAAGGGCCATGATTTGCAGCTGTTCCTGACTGTACCACCCCCCCAAACAGATAGGTAGGGTTAAGTGAAAACAAGCTGAGGTCCTATCTCCTCAAGCAACTTCAGTGATCCTTAACTGTGAATACATACTTGTTTAAGCACAGACTGTGCACTAATATGGGGATAATTTTTTACTGTTTGTACTCCTTTGTTTCAGGCAGGTACTCCCTTTTTCTTCTCAAGCATCTTGTACATTTATATAATCAAATATTAATCAGTGCTTTTTAATTAAAAAATTAAGCCTGAAAATGGAAGGGAGAGTGAATGACAAAGGCAGCCAATCAGTGATATATGTGTCTAGATTCTCTAGGAAACCCAGAAATACAAGGTTTCTTTGAGCTCTGTCCAGGACAGGGGCACCCAAGTCACAAAGAATGAGTTACCTCAGTGGGCTTTTTGCTATATTATGCATGTCTGTGTTTATCTTAACTTTCATTTAATATGTTAACAGATAAAGGTATACACCTGAAGTTAACACAGACTAGTCAGACACTTCTCACTTGTCACTGTAAGCTAATTAACCCTAAAGCCCATGCCATTGGCAACAGCTTTGCACTAATTCAGCAGGCATGATAAGGCAGGCTACAGGGCTGCTGCTGCAGGAATAGCTACATTTGGGTCCCTTATATTTTTCACACAGTCTTGGAATGCATAAACAAATCCCAAGTGGTATCTTAAACGCTGGATTAACAAGCATCTGTGCATCTGCTATAACCCTGCAATTTCATAATGATGGAATACATAGCATAGAATTCCTAACGTAGCGGTCATTTCGGAGGAACGGTGAAAAGTTGAGGAAATTGGGATCTGAAGCCAAAAGGTGGAATAAGGTCATCAAGAAGCAGCATGGTATAGTGGTTAGGGTGTCAGACTAGGATCTGGGAGACCCAGGTTCAAATCCCCATGTTGCCATGGAAGCTTGCTAGGTGACTGTGAAGGTCAGAGTCTTAACTGCAGTTTAAACAGAGGTAGCATGCTATGTAGTTCAACCACAGTGGTCTTCTTGACCCCAACCTTCTAATGACAGACTGACCCCAAGGGTCTTCTAAATGCACTTAATTCATATGAGACATCAGGGAAACAGGATAAAAAGCAAGACTTGTAATCACTACAAGAAATAGGAGAAATAAGGATATTCAGTGAAGAGGTTTAAAGAACACTTAGATTTTATTCTTCAGGTAAAGACTGGCATTCCTTCAGCCTCAGGATTCTCACAGAATAAATGTGAACTTCTCCCAGAAACCACAAATCTTTAGCCAATTTCTCTCAGAAACTGGGCTTTGATACAGCTATAATCTCTTCCTCAAGCATTTACTAAGCTAGCCTGTTTTATCAAAAAAGTCAGGCTCTTCGGCATCCAAAGTCTCCTAAGAAAGGGTTTTAAGTCTCCAAACCGTATCTCCAAACATTCACTGTTTTAGCTTGCTGAAACTCAAGAGACATACTGGGGTTGATCCAACCATCCTCTAAGTTACTTTCCTTTAATTTGTAGCTTCTCATCCAACTTAAGTGATTCTTCCTCCAACAGAAGAGCCACGTAAATTGGAGGTAGACTTCTTAGAGTGGAGAAAGACTTCAAACTTGAGCTGAAAGGAAAGGTAGGAAAGGTAAGTAGGATTGGGGTAGAATCCACCCCACTAAGTCTCCTGAGAAAGGATTTCTTCTGCTTACTCCCCTGGAGGTGAAAACTCTATCTGAACTGAGATGACAGTATAGTAGCTTTTACATTCCCACTCTCCCCTCCCAACTGGCTTCTTCAGCCATTTGTGGCTCTGACTGGCTATCTTCTACTCTGCCCACACACCAAACAGTCATTCAGGGTACTGGTGGTGACTGACTCAAAGGGGCAGGACCCTTGCCCATCCATCACAATAGCCTTGGATCAAGTCACACACTCAGAACATAAGAAGAGCTCTGCTGGATCAGACCAGTGGTCCATCTAGTCCAGCATCCTGTCTCACACAGTGGCCAACCGGTTCTTTTGAAGGGGCAACAGCAGAGCATAGAGGCCAAGACCTTCCCCTGATGTTGCCTCCTGGCACTGGGATTCAGATGCTGACTGTCTCTGAACGTGAAGGTTCCTTTCAGTCACAGTGTGGTTAGTAGCCACTGATAAACTCTCAGCCTAGCCTCCCTCACATATTGTTCTGAGGATAAATGGAGAAGGGTAGAATGTTGTAAGCTACCTGGATCCACATTGTGCAGAAAAGTGTAGTAGTAATGAAGTAAGCGAATAAATCAATAAATAGCGGGATTAAAATGGTATGAGGGGAATGTCTTGTGGACCCTTGTTAATTGAGTATG